GCTAGGTTTTTTTTCCCTCCAACTTTTTACTATACATAGTATAACTAGGTATGAAAAATGACAAGCTTAGAGCCAGAAGGTGTCACTTAGTTGAGCCGCGGATAGATATGGGTTCCTTTTAGTCTTACTATGTCTACGGCCTGAAATATTGCCTGTAATAATTTTTTCAGCTGACTGTACTTAAATAAAGTATTTCTACGCAAGCTACAAAGGCTATCGGTTGTCATCAACCCATAGAGTCAATGATATTAGTAGTTATAACAAAAGATTACTTGACATAATTACAATGGTTTCCTGTGATAAATCGTAATTTATGTTTATTATAAAAACTGTTAATAAAAGGCGTTTTTTGTTTAAATTAGTCTGTTATCTGATTGGATCCCTGTATACTTACCTAATATCTAAAAGTCTAATTGCATTTATTTTGCTCCTCGCGTCGCCCCCGTAAACTTCGGTCTATTACAGATTTTCGCGACAAACTTCTGTTAAGTTTTTTTACGTTCGTAAAATAGAGAGAGAAAGAGTTACAATGTTTCAGATAAAGTAGACCATAAGATCCAAAATTAATTCAATATGTACTAAAATAGTTTCGTGGGCAAAGTCACGTGCTCATAGCCGAATAAATAGTTATACTCACGCATGTGTAAACAAAAGCATTAACTAATAAATAAGCAAGTCAAATATCATTAACAGAATTCTGACAATAATCACGTAGGTCATTGACTCATGGAACTGCCCAGTGTTTGGTTTTTGTCATTTCTCTTTTGTCATCGATTGAATCATGATTGATGCAAGCAAAAGTTACGACAACAAGCAGGAGTAAGCCTTATTACCTACATTATTAGGTGTGTATTTATTTAGGTTATGAAATTGGTACGTAGCAACTCAGTGTCACTAACTGTATAATAATAACCTCGAATAATTAATTGTTTATCATTCTTTTTTTTATTCACGCTCTATGTTTAATGAATGAGTGTAGACGGTGACATAGAAAACATAGTGTGTGTAACGGTTATACCTACCTACCCAATGTACGGATGATCAAGCTAAGTCATGTTGCATTTTATGTACTTTGTAATAGATGCAATTTTGCAATAGATATCTATAGACCAATATACAGTTGACTATACAATTTGTTAGTCAAAATAAGTTGCTAAAATATCAAAATGTCGATGTGCTTAATGTAGATACTGCAAGGTTACAGACTTACTAAACGTTTCCTGTATTTCCTATTCATTTTAAAGTGAGCGAGGTAACTATAGCAATAAATAAAAATAGAAAAGGCAACGACATCAGTATCTATCTCCCCTTTTTGAAATGATAGAGCGCGTTTTTTCAAAAACCAACAGAATAGTGGGTTACAACGGATTCTCCGACTTTCAGTTTTGAACCAACTTTTTAATTGGATTCTGTTTCAAGAAATACTCCTTACAAATATAGGATTGTCCTAAGTAGGCAGTACACAACAAAATTATACTATGCATTCTTTATACTATTTAATAGGAAAGTAGGAATTCATAATTCATGTAGAATGCCAAAAATACTGTATTTGGGTGACTATTCCCGTACACCTTGTCTTGTTGGCTTGAAGGCAATCGATGTTAAGGTAATCAATATGAAAAAAGCTATAAATCAACAACATTGTAGAGCATTAACTTTATAATAAGTTAATTTTATTACATCGGCCTTTGACATTTCCGTATGACATCGTATAGTTCAATTAAAAAATACGGAACCCTAAAAATAGATACCTTTTCTACTATTGAAAAATCATTAAATGTAAATGTAATTTTATTTTAATATGATTTAGATAATAGTATCAGTATTACAACGCAAGATTTATGTTATAAACTATGTTTAAATAAATGGGCGTCACGTGATCCCTTGCTAATTACGTCAATTTGACTTTATTGAGATAACTATTTTTGTTATCGTACATGTTTACATGACCGGCAGAGGCGGCAGGTCAAGTTTGACAGTTGTACCTACAGCAAAAAATCTGGTTTTGTGTGCCATATATGGAATGTATAAAAGAGGTATTCAGGTTACTGTAAACTTTAAGGAATCTCATCAACACACACGACAGCGCGGCGAATTGGTGTCGGGGCTTTATCCTACTAATATTATAAATTCTACTTCCTACTTAATATTATAAATGCGAAAGTTTGGATGTCTGGATGTTTGTTACTCTTTCACGCAAAAACTACTGAACGGATTTTGATGAAACTTTACAGTATTATTGTTATAACCCAGAATAACATAAGGCTATAATTTATGACGATCTGTGACAAACGAAATTTCACGCGGGTGAAGCCGCGCGGGTAAAAGCTAGTTTCAAAATAATCTTGTCGACGACCTGTGCTTTCTATGACTTTTGACAAAGCCGACGTGTCGACTTATGTTGGTGGGTATGGTGTGTACGCTGCGTTGACTAAGTTACTTATACAAGAATTGTTTATTCGAAAACAATTGCACACTTTACATACATTTAATTTATATGAAAAAAAAACTGGACCACTTGCGGTTAAAAATATCGGAAACTGAATTTACCTTCACAATTAACTGCTTTTGCTTCCAGTCTGATCCAGTAGGTATTTTACGATAAGTAAGTAGGTAAACCTTGGAGACAATGTAAACACGATTTCAGTTAATTCCGTGGACAAAAATGAGAGTAACTTTTAACTGTTCACCTCGTGGTAACCATCTTTAACGAATAAAATTATTTTTGTTTTTAGTAACCCAATACGAAAGTCATAATGAGGTATCATAATGTCGAAACACTTTGTATACTTTTGTTTGAGTACAGTTCGGTGGATATTTAAATAAAGAGCTACGTAATATTCTTTAGTTGTTAGACGAATACATTAATTAACAATGTGGGTGAATGCAGTTAGGTACCTATAAAAATGGTGACGCACGTCACTATTTTGCTTGTGACCACGATTCGTTCGTTCGTTCGTTTCAGCCGAAAGACGTTCACGGCTGGACAAAGGCCTCCCCCTAGGATTTCCACAAAGACCGGTCCTGCGCCGCTCGCCTCCAGGCTCCTCCCGCGACCTTAACCAGATCGTCGGTCCACCTAGTGGGAGACCTGCCCACGCTACGTCTTCTGGCTCGTGGTGACCACGATTGTAGCAAGGCAACTGAAACGGTAAGCTGTTAAGTAAATAAAAGTAAATTACTAATGTTTTTTAGAATTCATGAATATTTGGGTACAAACGCAAATATTGAAAATTGAGCACTCTTGGTCCAATTTTCAATCAAAACCTTTAGTTTGGTATGAACCTATTCAACTAGAGTTTAATCCCAGATTTGTATTAATTTGGATCTTTCATCTTAGCTCCAAATTAATTTGCGTCGATTAATCAACGCCTCGTTCAATTAATCACTGATTTAAGTTTGTGACAAAGCAAAATATAAGCAATAAAAGGATCAATGAAGCCCCAAAAACAGAAGTATTATTATTCTAAAGGGAAAACGCTGAACTCGATGGGACATCATCGTCTTAGAAAGATTTCCTAAAATTATATTATCTTTCTTTTATTTATTGAAACTATTCAACTATTTATATTAAAAAACATAACCCTCCTTCTGGCGCAGTCCGGTAATTAAACTTACTTATAATATTTGTTCATGTACGCATCTTTAGTATTACAAGTTTCTGTTGTGCCTTTTTAAGTCAGACCCAAACTACATAGTTTTTGTTTTGTTCTATAATTAATTGGATAAGGGGACTTTACAGTTTACGACATTATCTTTTAATTTTTTGTTTAATCTTTAAAATTACACTATCTCTCTTGATACTGACTGGTTCTGTCCAGATATTTAAAAGTCTAAATCGGCTAAAACCAGTAACAGGTAATTTTCTCTGTTTAATTTTTTCAGGTCAATTGTCTGCCGTTGACCAAAGTCTTGGTGTGGAAAAGATGCCTTTAGATTTTACTCTTATTAGTCGAAATAATTTTAGTTTAACTGTTCGAATGGGATAAACCTTATGCGTTATTTTTTATTTTTTTAAACCATGACAGAGAAGCTCTTAGCCTGAATCTCACCTGAAGGATATACACAGCATTCTAGTATTATGTAGTACATTTTTAGTAGACGCTGTTAAATTTCAAGTGTCAGTGTTTCACCAAAGGGTTTTAAAGTTCTGACATACCCCTGAAGGACGGTACATTTTCCTCTAACTTATCAGTATAAGGTTTTCAGTCAGACATTTAATTTCAAAATAATATTACTACGGGTATATTATGTAAAGATTTGCTTCAAATATTTCGCATCCCCCGTTTTAGACCAAAATAGAGCGTGCCGTTAACAGCTGTGCGGACATACAGTACAAGCAAGGGGCGGCCCCATAGATTGTGGAGAAACATGTACCTAACATCAAATATTAAAGAAGCTTGTAGAGATACAGCTTCACCTATGAGGTAGGTACTTTGTGCCTACGATGTAGCAAAATTATAGATCAATTTCGTGAGATCTGAAAAGGCGGGGGACTTACAATAAGTTTTTAAGTGCTGTGGGGAGGTGACACGTGTGTCGTAAACCACCCTGGTGACAATCAAATGGCATCTGTCTATATAACAGCGAAAGGTCACTGACTGACTCACTCGACTCATCACGAAATCTCAGAAACTACAAGTGCTAGGAGTTTCAAATTTTGCATGGGGGTTCCTTTTAGAACGTAGGTGCTCACTAAGACAGGATTTCGTAAAATTCAACCCCTAAGGGGGTAAAACAGCATCCATACGTATACAAAGTCGCAGGCGGTCGCTAGTATGGGACTAAAGACAAAGAAGTAAGTTATTAAAAGGTATATCTTTGTACATTTCATTCGTTTTGAGGACGGAATTCGATAGCTTAGTTTCAATAACGAACAAAATAATAAATAATGAAAAATGTTTACTCATGCACACTGACTAACGCTAAATTGTTTATTTATTTAGGCTAGATACTTCGATAAGTCCCAGTTTATCAGTGCTGATCGTATATAAATACCTAAGGCGAGGTTATTGAAGCACAAGTCAAGTGGATACTAACTGAAAAACAATAAACGATTGTACAAAATGAAATCGCTGGTTCTAGCAGCAGTAATAATGTCTGCCGGTGCTGGTAAGATTTTTTTACGATTTGTACAATTTGTTTAACTTTAAGATGTAGCAGAGGGGTTGGCATAATTTTCTATAAGGGAGGGGAAAATTGTAAACCTGAAATTAAACAATACGTGTATTACAATTTATTTAAAAGCCATTAAATCTTTTTATGCATAGATAAATCACTTACCATCAGAAGACCCGTCTGCGCGTTTGTACTGTCACATAAAAAACAATTGCATTAGTCTAATGCCCGTTTTCACCATCAATCCCTAATTTTTATGTGACCCCCTTTAAAAATCCTGTTATGTGTTACCATTTATAGGTCACATAAAAATTAGGGATTGATGGTAAAAACGGGCATAAGGCTACAGTCTTCTACGCGGCGTAGACGGTCGGTGGTCGGTGTCAAACGTTCCTATCGACGTCCATTTATGCCGACGTCGACGTCTGCGTATAGACGTTGACGTCGGCGTATGGACGTCGATGGACAACAGCTTACACTTCTAAGTAAGCAAGCATTGTGACGCGGCCTACAGCATGACGTTAAACGCAACCTGTGCATAACTATCCGTCCCCCGGGCTTCAAGAAGAAGCCCACACTCGGCCATGTCGGCACGCGCACCGACGATCGTCAAACGGCTAGAGTACCTTCTGTACTCGCCACACTGCCCGGTGAAGCTGGAAAAGCTCCTCAAGCTACCAGCGCGCGTCCCTTCAAAAAAAAAAAAAGCAACCTGTGCAAACTCTCTTACGAAAAAAACATTTCTTAAAATTTTAATGTAACTGGTAAAAAATAGATAAATAAATAAAAAAATGTTCTCAGGCCAAAGTCTAGACATCGTGCCCATAAAAGAATGGGGTGGATCAGAGCTACAGTACAAGAACGAACTTGAGACCCCGTTGCGGTTTGCTATCGTTCACCACACTGTGACTAATGAATGTAGCACCGACGAGGAGTGTGTGAGTCTACTGAACAATATACGGGGATTTTATATACAAAGTCAAATTGGTTGGGGCGATGTTCCTTACTCGTAAGTATATTTTAATATACTCAATAGTCACTCACTATAGTCGACAAATATCTGGCGGAATATTTTTTCATATATTTAATTAGAAAAAAATATTCACTGTTTTAATAAGCTTGCAATTTCGCCAAATATGCAATGTGAAATGGTGTGAAACGCAAATGAAGCTACAAGTATTATTTAAGAATGTTCGAAGACTAACTTACTATAAGTACGTGACGTAGTATTTAAGGCTGAGGCCTGAGTTGCACCACCTAACTTTTATCGTAACTATGACGATAACCGGTGTTTTTGTATGGAGTTTGACATATTTGAAACCCAGCCTAACTGTTTTAATTTTAATTTTTGCAGCTTTATTTAGTCGCCTTAATTCAAGATTTGATTTGTGTGGCCCAAACCAATGGGGGCTATCGTTTTTATACTTAACAGTTGGCACCCCTGGCGATTGACAGGACCTTACTCTACAGAGGCGCCATCTTGATGAGTGGAAATGCGATAGTCCTCCTACCACTTTAGCGCTCACCAGTTGGCGCCACTGTCTTCGCTACTAATAAGTGACAGGACCTTACTCTACAGTGGCGCCAACTGGTGAGCGCTAAAACGATAGCCCTCATTGGAAAGAGTGGGAACAAATTCACTATTTACTTTTCGTATTTCACAATATGGCTACATATTGTACAATCTCTGTAATGGAACTCATCTAATTGGAATTCAGTGATACACAAATCGATTATGGATTAAACATTATCGCAATTGACTACAGTGTAATCTTGATTGGCTATAACAATCACGTATAATAGAAATTGGTTTGTAACTGATAATAGGGCGTCCCCCAGTGACATAGATACAACAGATAATAGTCATACTGGTATAGGTTAATAAATTCAGTAATATTTTATTTCTCATTAAAAGTCCTAGGTTCTAACTTACCTAATAAGGACTAAGACTTGATAAGTAGGGTAGAATATTGCTTCAACCACATAATAGTCTCATATGAAGTAATAATTTCTTAAAGCTATACACTCTACAGTCCACATTAAGGTCGTATTTACAAAAATGCACATAAAATCTGTCAGTTTAATTATGTAAATCACATTATCTCATAAAAATACACAGGAATACAAAATATCTTTTTTTTTTTTTTTTTTTTATACACAACGAGGAAGCTCTTGGCCTGTATCTCACCTGATGGTAAGTGACGATCAGGCCGAAGGTGGAAGCGAGCTTCACCCGGAATCCTCAACCACGGAAGAACTGGCTATCTTACCTCTAACTGCCGGAACACAACAATGCTGTTAACACTGTTGTTATGGCGACAGACTTAGGTAAGATGGTGGTAGCTAGCCAGGCGGACTTAGAACAAGCCCTACCACCAACCAAACCGAACAGAAAAATCTGCCCCCACTGGGAATCGAACCCGGGACCTCTGCGTCTGAAGCAGGTGGTCTTACCACTAGACCACAGAGGCGGTTAAATTGTTAAATCGTTTGATACTGAGTTTCCTACACTGTGTCCGGGTAGAGTCGCGAAAAAAGTGAATATCACGCTCCAAAATCTCATAAGGTGAGGTCTCCTTCCGTGGTTTTTTGTGAAACGGGGAAGTTCGCATTTTTGCGGCCGAAATTTCCCTGGGGAGAACCGGCTGTACGCTTGCTGTAATTAACTTTGAACCTCTTAATTGGCGGTAACAGAGCCAACTAGGGCTGCCACACAACCGTAAAAACGCTTGTTCCCAAAGGTCCACGACTCTATTGTTTTTCTTTTCCCACCGGGTCCTATACTAAGAAAATGCTTTTTAATTTTTAATGTCATGGAACTCGTATCAAAGTAGGAAATGTTTTTTTTTAATTATAGAGCTGTGGATATTTGGAAATAAGCCCGTAAAAAAGTATTTTTAGGTAAAAGAAGGAAGTAACCTCCTAGTAGTATTAATGAATGTGAATACTAATACTAATAGTATTAAGAATGTGAGTTTGGAAGGATGTATGGATGTTTGTTACTCTCTCACGCAAAAACTACTCAACGGATTTTTATGAAACTTATCAGTGTCATTATTTATACATCAGAATAATATTTATATAATGATCTGCGAAATAATATGCTAAATACAATAAAATGCGATTTTACAATAACACAGCGACTAGACTGGACCTACCTAGAAAATAGTATTTATTGGCAACCCTGCGCGAACTAAAGCAATTGCTTGGCAGTTCAGCGTTGGATGTTGGATGAACGAACGGTGACGTCACAGAGGAATCCTTTTGTGGCATTTAGACACTTAGCACCTTAAAATTACTTTATTAACCTTGACGAATTTAATTTTCCTAAGTTGTTTTGCCTGAGGGAAATAAGGGTTATGTGTGTAAATGGCTCTATTGGCCGTAACATAGACCAATACAAACAGATAGTTAATGCTCGTGCGGGAATCAAACCCGAACCTTTGGAATAGTAGACCACTACACCAAATGTCTGTCAAAATATGTTCAGAGTGGGTCTTATTGCAGTGGGGACTAAATAAATGATGATGATGTCCCTAATGTAATTTGAGTTCATTAGCGGGGGGGCCAGGGTGGCACACCTCCTCCCCCCAGAATGGTCTGGTGCCCCCCCCTTAGGATGTTGTGCTACCAATTTGAAGATGATAGCTGATAGGACTAACCATGAGCTAGATACTAATCGCACCCAGGGGGGGTACCCCTTGTCACATGGCATGTCACAGCATGTCCCCCTGAAAAAGAAGCCTAGATACGCCAATAGTCATAGTCATAGCCATTTATTCCATAAACAATAACATCATCGTATTGAAAATTAACAATGTTTGAGTTTGGATGCAGGTTCATGATCGGAGGAAATGGGAAGGTATACGAGGGCGCGGGTTGGCACAACTCTGGCGCTCATACGTTCCTCTACAACCAGCGGTCCATCGGGATTGGTTTCCTTGGTGATTTCAGAGGTGAGTTTTGCTTGTAGTTTCTAGCTTTGTAAAAGTTGATTTCTTCCAAATTACATGTACAATTTTATTTACAACTAGCGCCCGCGCGCGACTTTGTACGCGTGGATCCCGTTTTACCCTCTTAGGGGTTGAATTTTCTTAGTAAGGACCTAACGTTCTAAAAGTTACCCATGCAAAAGAGACTCCTAGCACTTGTGGTTATTGAGATTTCATGATGAGTGAGTCAATCAGTGACCTTTCGCTTTTATAAATAAAGATTTCTTTTTTATTTAAAACTTCTTTTTAAAAAAATCTTTACTCGAAAACTATAAAAAATCGCGGAACATGGAGGTGATTCGGATAGCCCTTTCTCTATGCTCTACCTCCCGGTTTTGGCTTGACATTACTTTTTTGACGCCCTGTAAACGAGTATGTACTCCTATAGTATGTGTGGGGAAAAGGGAGGAAACTTCAGGCAAGTTACTGTGGGTATAGTGCCGCAGCCTGATAAGGAAGTCCCAAAAGTGTAATTAATTTTCTTTGCGAAAAAAATAATCTAACTTTTCCTAGAGTTTAATTAGAGAAAAAACGTTTTTGCCCATTTTATTAGTTTATGCAGACGTTCCCCAAAGGGATCTCACGTTGCACCCCACCTACTTTAGACCAATTTGTAAGTACACTTAATCTTTGTTTCAGAGAAAACTCCGACGCCAGAAGCATTGCAGGCGGCGCAAGATCTATTAAACTTTGGGTTAGAAAACAACTACCTTTGGGATGATTATAAGCTGCTAGGCGCTAAGCAAATTGTTAGCACTGAGAGCCCAGGAGATGCCTTACAGAAAGTCATTGAGGGCTGGCCTCATTGGGCAGAGAACCCATTTTTTTAGGTATTTTTGATTAATAAAATTAAAGCATTAAGTTCTCTACTAACTTCGTTTTATTTGTGTAAGATTCAAGGTGTACACGACTGGTCTTATTCACTGAAGTCATTAAATTCAGCTTCATTTACAGATAATTTGAGGATGACCATCTCTTATTTTATGGTAGTGGCAAAAATAAGGATTGGCCTACACTCCCCACGCTGGCTAGACGGGTTGGGGAGGACTGATGTTCGTATATTTCTCCTTTAGCCGTCTAGATAGAGCTCTTACGATATCGATATCTTATCTTATCTTATTTAATATTCAGAGTAAGCTATCTACAAGTTAGCTGTGGTGTGAAGATAGGTAAAATCTTTGTAGGACGTGCTAATCGAAATCATTTACGTTAATGATTGCACACAAATTAAATTGATCTGCATTTCACTCTATATCTACTACTGGAGTACTAATATTTGCTAAGTAAAAGTGTTTATTAAATAAAAAAAAATTGATTAAACATATTTTTTTAAGTCTGGCAGTTTATTACCAGAGAAAACAACAGACAAATGTGGATTTTGATTTAAAAAAAATCTAACTTTAAAACTATTTAACTGTCAGACTACTAACCTAGTGCGAGTTTACACTCAGCCCACTGGTATTATGGATTTATATTTGGTAGGTTGTTTATAGGGAAATAAATGTTATTAATATTTCGTCTGGTTGCGATAATAGTGGCTATTTTAAGTAAAACATTAATGAATTTAAACATCATAATGAATGTAAAGCTAACTAACTTATACACATTGACTTTATGATAACAAAATAAAGAAGGATATTTTTTACTTACTAATATCATAATAATTATCAATATTTGTTATATTTTTGGAAACCTATTGCAACTTTAAATATAATTAGGTAAAACACTTTTAGACACAGAATAAACATAATATATTTAAATTAGAAAACAAACATTGAACCAAAATAGAAAACAAAGCTGTTCCTACATAATAAAGCGGATTTGCTAATTGTTTTCTAAAATACTAGTTTAGAGGTCTTAATTGTAGATTATCTTTAGACGTTAATATTTAAAAAATACCAACCGAATTAAAAACCTCCTCCTTTTTTTTAAGTCAGTTAAAGAAAGTGCATCACAAACCCTTTAATAAGGCATTAGTATGACTAATTGATTTATCTATGCTGAAGGTTAGGTGTGATAGGTATCATTTTAATGGTAGACCTTTGCCCAGCGCCGAGTATAATCAAATTAGTATTCTAAACTTAATGACATAGTGGTGCAATTTGCATGATTGGATCTATAACACGTTGTCCACCGCGTGTCGTTCCGAGAAGGTATAAACGTGACAGAAATGCAACAAATAGTCGTTTGTGGGTAATAAAAGGCATGTCCTGTGTTAATTATTATAAAGGCGACTTTGTCGCGTCAAACACGACAACGCTAACAAAAGTTTACCCTATATTAAGGCTGGGTTGCACAATCTTATTTTAACTTTAACAAACTTCAAAAATCTGTCAAACTCCATACAAAAAACACCGGTTATCGTCAAAGTTACGGTCAAAATTAGCTGGTGCAACTCGGCCTAAGACTGTTTTTTAGTGGACAAATTAGATTGAAAGTAGGAAAGGATAAACATTTATTTGGTACCAAAAATAAAAACAATACAAATCAACATAGGTAAGAGCAAAACAAAATTGTTGTACCAAACTTGTTTCCAGTTTTGCTTCTTATTTTGAATTATTATTATTTAAAAATACTATTTTAGAAACTTTTAATAAAATAGAAACTTAAACTAAGGCAATGAATCACTTGATCTTGATGACACTTTGATTCAGGCTTAAGGAAGGCATCGCTTTGGGGGATTCAAAGTTTTATTTATTCCTTTAACCCATCCCATCTCTATGGGAAAAGTTTTAAAGGGTCAATATGGGTCTATTGGCACGCCATAAATTTCTCCATAGAGATAGCTTAATGGGATTGACATGGGTAATCGATGGGAATAGACGAAGAATAAAAACTGGTGAAAAACTATCGTTATTGTTATCACAACGCTTTTGGTTGCATTACAGAGATATATATCATTTGGAAGTATTTGTTTCTATTAAAAATGTGCTATCAATATTACATTTTTATGCTGACGTCCAGTGCCATCATCATTTCAGCCTTAGTAAAACGTCTACTGCTGAACATAGGCCTCTCCCAATGCTTTCCATGTTGATCGATTGGTAGCGGTCTGCGTCCAGCGCTTTCCTGCTACCTTTATGATGTCGTCGGTCCACCTTGTGGGTGGTCAGTACATCGACTCATTGTAATGTTCTAAAATTGGAAATAAATAAGGAATATTTTAATAATTTCGGCGTATAGAAAGAAAAAACAATTCTTACTAAATCGAATAATGTGTGACCACTGACCATCATTCCAAAATATTATAACGCGCCTACAGAAAACCAGTTAACTTATAGCTTGTAAAGGTCAATTTTGCTTGCAAACTAATTTATCATTGTACGATTGAACAGCTTGTTTATGTTTTGCACCTGATACGTAATCCCAGTGTTGGTTTTTATTGTTATTAACCTTGTGGCCATTGACGTCAATACTCGGGGGCGTGATGCGCCGTGTCAGCGATTCGATCATGTTGTTTTATTTTGTTTTGAATTTATAATCGAGTTCCGTTTTGATTTGCATCGCTGCTTTATCGATGCAAAGATTCCTATCCGGTTCTATTACTAGATGGTCAAAAGAAGTCAGAATGTCTATAAGTGTTTGTAGGCAAGGTTCTAACTGTTTGCAGTTTAATACCCCGGGACAAACTTGACCTTCACTGGTTGGGTTTTATTGGCAGTCAAGCTGTAGATCCTGGCTACACAGGAGTTGTAGCAGTGGGAACGAGAGGTGGGAATAGTCCCGTTCTAACTATTAACCATTGACGTGTAATTTGTAAGTAGGTACTAAGTTTGTACTAAGTACCTACGTCTTAGGTCAAAATAAATCTGAATCTCGTCATCGATCTACAAGGTGACCTATTCGTTCCACATACATCATTATATAGGTACTTTGTTTATCTTGACATTGCTTTATTGACCCTTTGTGGTGTAAAATAAAAAGAACATGGATGTATGTATACCCGTGATAAAATACTGCCACAAAAAACGTAGAACACTCAAAAATCTTCCATACAAGCTCTGCAATGCGTTGTTCTACATTATTTACAGCCGGCTATATCACATAGCATTCGCAGGATTAGGATTGAACTCAGCTTTATTGTGTGGGCTCCTATTTGAGAGTACAATGTAAGTGTTAATATATGGGTTTTATTTCGGGAGAGTGTTAGAGAAAATTCCAAAACAAAAGAGGATCACACATGATGTAAATGTCAGAAGTAGGTCTAAAGGCTTGTATTGTACTATTCGTTGTTCTATGCCTGTATTAAAAATCTAATCTTAAAACGAATTTAAAACTGTAATATCTAAAAATGAACCAATTTCAGGATTGCATCTGTTATTTAGTATAAATAATAAATAGAGTTTTGTGTGTGGTTTCAGAATAACAGTGTTGGTACTGAGGTCGTTGTGTAAATCCTTGGGGGAGGCTTTTGTCCAGCAGTGGACGTCATTTGGTTCAAACGAACGAAATAATAATAATTATGTAGTATAGGGTGTTTTTTTAGAGGTATAGAACTTTAAAATGAAATAAAATAAGGTACTTGATACAAATAAGGCCTACGTTCTAATAAGGCCTATACATCAGAAAACACAGATAAATAAATCCAACCGGGATAATACTTCAAGGACACGTACTCATATGCCCTACAACCCGGTAGAGTGCAAGAGTGTCCCGATCCACGATCCCAGCACCAATTGGCACGCGTTCTTCTAAGGTGGTGGGTGATTTCGTGCTCTCTTATAAAAATCTGGCGATTTCATCTTAAATTTTCGGTAAAATAACGCTGTTTTAGATTAATCTTTTCTTAGTAATCGTTTCTAAATATTTCTTACTAGCTAATAATTACCTTAATTTGTACTACTGGCTATAGATGCATTATTTGTAAATTTTTAAAGACAACAAGAGTGAGATATCTAATAAGGCCTAGGCCTTATTTCAGCATGGTAGGCCATATTGGATACTTATGTACAAATACAAATACAAATATTTTATTTATGCAAACACACCGTTTACGCATACACCTTTAAATACAATTGGTAACAATAAAATCGGTAAACATTATATTGCTTTGTCTGCGGGTCCCACACTAGGAATAACCTGTGTCGTGGGCACCCAGTGGTGCTATGTAACCAGTACAGCGACAGATATAAGCGTCTACAAGTCAAGTTAAGCAGTCCAACGTTTAATTTAATACTAATAATGACTAAACTACAATTTAATACAAATACGGTTGTGTTTTTTTTGTAATATTATAAAAATTAAAGGATGGAAGAAGTTAATAAACCTTGTTTTTGTTGACTGGCGTTAATATTTATTGAAATATTATAAGCATTTAAAGTTAGGTAGGCCTTATTTGTATCAAGTACCTTACTCGTATGTAAAAATATGTTTGATTCACATGGTATTGATTTTGTTTAAAAGATGTTCTTATGCCATTTATGCTTCAAAATTATATCGGGCCAAAGGGCGCCACGGTTGGCTCAAATGTAGCGTAATCTAGATGTCCAATTTTCAATTTCTTTTTCGAGCAACTGGGAATGGTCCCAGTTGCCCAGTAGTTGGCATGTATGGACATCGGCAATAACGCGACGAATGTTGGCATTGAATTCCGTAGTTTATCTGCGCATTAGTGGACTTCACATATCCCCAGAGAAAATAATACATATGGGTGAGATCGATTGAAATTATGCGCTCATTGAATATTTCCCGCAATAAATTGAATGTGTCGCGTGCTGGTTGGATGGTAACATCATCTTGTTGAAACCATAGCTCTGCCACATTAATATCATTCATCTGAGGAATGAAAAGTTACGAAAATTACGTCGACCGTAATATGGACGTTTGTATGGAAAACTGAACCATGATTTTTAACATACATTTTTGCACA